TTCTCCTTTAATGGCGTGGTTTGTGTGTTGCAGAACTTGCAGCAAGGGTATTGGAGACAGTGGAAGAGGGAGATAAAAATTCCAATATTTGAGAGTAGTTCTGCCTTGAGATCTTGAGAAAGAGTAGGGAGAAACAAAGAAGGAACCCACTTCAAGCCTCTGCTCTGCTGGATGAAATCATCCTTTGAAACAGATCTTGGTTTACTGTCCAGCCAAAGGCACCTCTGGGTTTGGAGTTTGAGTTGTGTGGAGCCCACACAACTCGTGGCACAAGCTCTGCTGTTTAAGGTGCTTGCACCAAGGTCTTGGGCTTTTCCTGGACCTGCAGCAAACCTTAAACTTCCTTGCAGAGTTTTGGTTCTTAACTGGGATGGCAGTTAAAGCTGTTGGCTGGTGACACTTGTTTTGTAGGTGTTGAGGGTAGAGCTCTGGCCCTAGCAGAGGGCTCTGGTTGGTGCTGCAGCCTGGCTGCCTATGCTCAAGGATCTAAGTGGTGGGGTGATGAGATCAGAGCTACCTCCTGGGCCTTTCTGCACAGCCATGGATACCCTTCTGGCTGCAGCAGGCACCTGGATGGGCATAGCTGAGGGCAACCATAGGCACATCTGTGACCATCACTGTAAAAGGATGTCCAGAGGCTGTGCTTCTAGGGAATTGTCCTGAAGCTAGTATGTTCAGATGAATGGGAGAAAAGTGGGCTTGACCAAAGCTAAAGCCCTTGTAATTGTTGCTTTGAGCAGATAGTGATTTGAAACAACCTATAGCCAGCTGAAATGCAATAAAACTACATAAACTTGCGGCTCCACCACCTGTCCAGGCCAAGCTGTTGCTCTGGCGAGCGGCATTCATGGTACACAGCATTCACACACCATCCTAGGGGCTAGAGAAGATAATTCCACTCTCATTCTGAGAAAAGTTTTGCAAGAAACAATTTGACAGTTGCAGAAGCAGGAGTAAAGGCCTGAGAGGGCCCTGCAGACCTGTGGAGCAACTTGCCATGCAATGCCACAGTATCCAGAAGGTGCAGAGGTTATGTGGGGATGACATGTGCCTAATAACATGGGTATCACCTTTTAACAGAATAGATCTGAACTCTCACACATGGTAATTGGGAGCTGATGCTGAGAAGGAGCCGCTTTTGGGTCTGTGTGCAGCAGGAGAACCCTACTGCAGGCATAAGGCAAACAGCAGATCCGTGGAGTCAGCACTAGGATGCATTCCCAGCCCAGTGGCATGCTTCAGCTCCACGCCAGGGAATTGGCTCCCTGCCAGCAGCTCAGTGTAGCAGTGCTGCTTTCAGTCCATGAGTGAGACAAAACTGAGTAAACAATCAGAAAATAACATGAAAGGATCTTCATTCTCTTCCTCTGGCTTCGATATGAACCTGTGAGCTGCACAACTTTAGTTTGCTTTTCGCAACACCAGAAATACTGGCTTTAAACTTGTCTTTCACAGATGTGATCACTGACTGCTCTGTTTCCTTTCTCATCCCAGGTATCTCAAGACATCTTTTTCTGCTGTGTAAGCTTTTGCTATTTCATTTTTTTTCCTCTTGAAGTCCTCATTACACTATTTTTAATCCCTTCCTCCCTCCCCTGCTGACAACTCCTCTAACACACCCCTCTCCCAAGCTGTGCTCCTGCCAGCCCTGCAGCACTGTTTGAGGGGAGGAAAAATAGTATATTATTTCTTCTCGACAAGATGGTCATATGTGCTCTGAATACAAAGCTCCCGGTACTTCTGGTGGCCTGTGATCATGTGTGAAGCCAATATTGATATGGATAACATAACTCGGTGTTCAGTCTATAGGTTAAGTTTGAAATGCTGCTGTTTCCTTTTGAGTGTCATTTTGCTTTGATAAGTCAGCCTAGTTGCAGAGTTAGCTCCCTAAAACATGAGAAAGACTAATCTGGCTATTTTAGCAGCTTCCTCTTTGTACATTAAGTACCTCACTAAGTTTAAAAAAAAACAAAAACCAACCACCAAAACTGTATCATTAACTGTTTGTATTCCAGGTTGTTTATTGTGGTTTTCTTGTGGTTCCCCCCCCTGCTTTTTATTTTCCTGCAATAACTGTTTTTTACTTTTTATTACTTAGGAGACCTGTTTAGTTACAGGTCTAAGAGGGAGTTTTCAGTATAAGGAGAAACTGCTGTTCACTGAGCTGCTTTGCTCCACAGTGTAATCCTTTTGTCTTTCATGGAGAAACAGAAATTTGATATACAGTCTGACAGCATTTGTTTCTGCTCTAGTCACCAAACTCCTGAGTAATGTTTGTTTCTGGGGACCTTTCAGCCCTGAGGTTTATATTAGGAAAGCTCTGCTGTTTCCTCCTCTGCAAAGCCAAAAAATAGTCATGTTGTGTGGATATAGGGCCCAGCCTTTTTAGCTTGATCACTGTGGCAGCAGCTGGGGATGGCAAGACCTTGAAGGGCTGGAGAAGGCAGGAGGATGGAGGCTGTGGTCATGGCCCGGGGAAGCCCTAGGAAAACCCCATTTGATCAGGGCAGCATGTTTCTGCGAGGCTCTGAGGGTAGTTCCTCAGCCTTACACTTATTCTTGGTTGGCATTTCTACCTGTCCATTTGCCAAGCCACACAGGCAAGAGCTGGCTTCTTTCCAGCCATCACAGTTGCCAGCTGCCCTCTGTGAAACACATGTCCTCCTCCTTTTGCTGGGGCACACCACCAGTCAGTCCCTGTCCTAAAGTACAGCTGAGCTCGCTCACCCACTTGTGTTTGATGGCTGGAGACATGCTGCCTGTGAAGCCACTTATGCAACGACAGGACTCCTGCAGAAATGGTTTGGATAAATCCTCTTCCCATTTGTAGCCTGGGATTTCCTGAGAAGTGTGAATTGGGAATGCTGCTGGGAGGGGGCCTGGGCTGGGAGGTACTGTTCAAAGGTATGGAGACAGGGTAGCATGCAGACCCTAGGGCAGCCCCCATATCCCAAAATACTGTTGTCCATTCTGCTGCATTTAGATGGAGTGGGCTGAATGAAACGTTCCCTTTTAAGCTGAGCTCAGTAAAAGCTGAATCATCAAGTGGCATAAATCCCTTGCATTCAGTGCAGCTATTCCATGTGGTCTGTATGTTACTTACCACTCAGCCTCTTTCTTGCACCGGGCAGAGAAGGAAAGCAAATCGACCTTAATGTCACATATGTCTCATTCTACCCACTTATCGTTAATTCTGGCTTTTAGCAATTTATCATAATTAAAATGGATGGATGGATGCTTTGAGAAGCACTAAGTCAACTAAATGATCTGTTGCTTTGAAGTGGGCAAAAAGCCCCTTTTGTGGTTTAAGGAAGTGAAGAGATGTTGAAGATGGGAAAATTCAGTCCCTGTGACTAGCATTGTCCACAGACAATATGTTCTTGTAATGATTGAGGACTATAACTTTAATATTATCATGTTAGCTGGATAATGTTAGTATTCTGTGTGTCTGATCTGTTTCCACAATTACAATCATTTGAGTGTTTGGAATGCCTTATATAAATAAGAGATGTTTCTTCAGACCTCAGCATCATGTACAGAAGATGATAGGATAGGTTTTCTCTAATTTCATAGAAGTCCAAGTCCTTGCACTGACAAGGCATGTGCAAGGGCTGCAAGACTGCGATGGAGATTGGACTGTGAGTTTTTGTGGTGTCAGCATTTTTACTGATCTGAGAGTAATCTGTATATTCAACAAAATATTTAAGTAGTGTGCAGAGACAATGCATGATTTTTGGTTCCTTTGTGTACCTCCTTTCAGGAAGAGGGTAAAAGTCAGAGTTTGGCAATAGACTTAAGCACACTGTGCATAACTGCCTTTTCTGGGAGTAGCTTGAACTCTGCAGACTGCTGAAAAGAATTGCCTCTTTGGTGATGGTGTCCAAAGTGGGTTTTAGAGATGCAGCATCTTTACTAGGAACCTTATGACTCCGTTTGTTGCATTTTGTGAGAAAGGCTTTGGTTTGCTATGCAGGAGATGGCAGGAATTTGGGCCACGTACATAACGTGAAGCAATTTGGGTAAATCTCTTTTTGATGGATCCACCACACCCAGCAGAGTGGATAAGATCCATTTACTCCTTCAGTCCGCAGGGGTGACCATCAAAGTGAAATATGGATGTTGTTGTCTTTCTATTCTATATTCTCTTAGATGCTGTAATTTCAAGCATTGTGAGTTGGAAGCCGATAGAGGGACACAGTACACACCCACCTTCATATACATGTTTTTTATTTCTTTTTGTAAATATAGATGTTTTACATTTCATACTGGCAAAAGCTGATTTTGAATTCCTTTCTAGCCACTGCATGTCTAACAGGGTTCTCTGCTGGACAGACTGTTGTGCAGACACAGACACAAGTAGAAGAGGCCTTCTGGGGATAGGGTTTTCCCTTTTTGTTCCAGTAACTTTATTTAGATATTTGGAGTAGGCTGTTTTAACCAAAACATGCCTGTGTGTCTAGGATGGCAGGGAGCCCTGGCTAAACAGCACGTTGCTTCAGACTGTGCAAACACATTTGAGATTGTCCTGTAATATTTTTATTGTTTGAATCCACTCTTGTTTTAATTCTACACTTATAGAATGATCTTGTATTCTTTAGGCACAGTATGAGAAAACAACATCTGTGGGAGGGAGACATAAGAGTCTATATCATGATAGCTGGGTAGCTTGAATACGAGTAGTTTTAAGTGGTCCAGTTTATTTGGGGCTTACGTAACTGTTTTCCCTCTGGTCTCGCTCCAGAAGGAGGAGCAGCTTTAATGCACTGTTCACGCAACCCTTTCCCATAGTATCCTCTTCTGTTGCAAGTGAAAACAACTCATTCATCACACTTAAGACACTATAGACAAAAACATCGAGCACATCAGAGAAGCAATCAATGCACACACAGATGCATGGCTGGAGCAGGCAGCCCAGGTCCACTATCTCATGTTGCTGCCCCAGCCAGCCATTTGTCCTGCCCCTAGAAATAGGAGGTTAACTGGCCAGAACATGTGCCAGTATGGCCCCTGCTGATAGGAAAGCCAGAGATTATGCTGATACTGTGCTAGTAGTTGGTGTGGGTATTGGGTGCATGTGCTGTGTGTCTAGCCTGGAGCCAGTATGGTGAGTAAGGAACAGAGCTGCTCCAATGCTGTGTTTGCCATCTGAAAAAATGCTTGAAACAAGTTTACTTGGCCAATGTCTTAATTAGGGGAAGGAAAAGCAGTTCCTGAAACTGAGGAAGATGTTGGATATTCTGCTTCCTGGTCCATTTTTATTACCAAGTCATGAGTTCCCAATAAGAGAAGTTTTTACTGTGGAAATTCTGACATAGCTCTTGTCTTTAGAGGTGAGATGTGATGCTCTTAAACTGACAGATTGGACTCTAGCAAAGATCTGTGTGAAGGAGGCTGACAGTGTCCTGTTAGAAGAGCTGTTGCTACTATTGTGACGTGAGGGATGAGCTTTCACTCCATTGTACTTGGTGAAGCCACATGTCGCAGTGTGATGCTTTAGTGCTGTGAAACTCTCCTGAACAACACACTAGCTAAATGAGGAGGGGTGGGTAGTGGAACAACGTGTCCTTGGAACTGTGGGGCAGAGTTGGGCTGAGAACCTCACCTTCTGTCTCTCCAGCCTGATCTGAGTGATCCTGCAGGTGTCAGCAGGCAGGGACAAGGATCATCTTTACATCAAAGAAAACAAAAATAAATGGCAGTTAGCCCCTGCCACATCCCATGTTTTGTTTTTTTGCCTTTCAGCATATTTCTGTTTCCTGATGACGGCCCTGGGTGTGACGGCTGGTGCACATCGCCTGTGGAGCCACCGTTCCTACAAAGCCAAGCTGCCTTTGCGGATCTTTCTGGCTGCAGCTAACTCCATGGCTTTCCAGGTGGGGTTGTGGTTGCCCATCCAGATTCTTGGCCTCCAGGCAGCTTTCTCTCCTGTGCAGTGATCCCCTCAGTTTAGAGACAGCAAAAGAAAAAAAAATCCTGGCAGAGACATCTGCTGGTAACACACTCGGTTCAGAGGGTGCAGAGAACCCTCTCACACCCATATGTAACTGTAGTTTTAGACAGTCCAGGAGCAATAATTACTTAAGGACCAAGTTGAATGTGTCCAGATCAGGAGCTCAGCACCTCAGCAGCCTATCTGTGGCACAAGTCAGGTCCCACACTTCACAAGATGATGTGGAAACTTTTGTAAGGGCCAACTTGATGCAAATATGTCTGCATAAACAAGTCTTTTTGTCCATACAAGCAGTTGGAGATTCTGACATGCTTAGAAAGGAGAGCAGGCATCCTTTTATAATCTTGTTTTTCACAATTCTGTTTTATGCAGCATTTATCACTTGTAAAATTCAAATACATTTGCAAAGAAGCATGTTACTAGCCCTGTATTTTACTGATAGGCAATCTTAGACCTCAAAAATGTTTGTGTAACACCCAGCTGGTGGTAGGAGTTAGACCAGAACCAGGATATTCTTGGTGTGAATTGAGTTACTCCTTTGGCTGTTCAAAATAGAGATATGAACTTGTACTAACATTAAACTTAGTGAGTTTGGCTGCTGTGACGCCTTGTGGCATTGAGTACCATGTGAGCGTTGATTTTTAAGCTTTCTCCCTTCAGTCTGTTTGGTTGACTTCTCATGTAGCTTGACAGAAGATGAAGAGAGTCCCTCTATCCACTCCTGTCCATTTATTATCTTTGATTTATTTTTTTTTTTTTAGTAAGGTGGAAAAAATTAATCTTGTTAATCCCTGTAGACATTACAAAGAGCACAATGCTTTTGATTGAATATGAGAATGTGTAAATTTTTATTATAAACTTCTTTTATATTTAGCCATATTCCAGCTGCCTTGTACAGAGATTTACAAGCACTTTGCTCAGCATGTTAAATGAGAACCCTTTGGTACTGTCCTGTTTTACAGCCATCATGTCTTTCATAAGTAATTTAAATAAATGGGTCGAGCTGGTTCCAGTGAGCCTGAACATTGGGATTTCATTGCGTTCTGCTCCCCTGTTGATATGGATTTTGCTCTCAGCTGTGTTGGCCTTATCACTGCTTTTGGCTGAGGACATGGTGCGATTTTTGAGGCAAGGAAGTACTCAAAGTGGCTTCAATCCACCTTTCTGCCCTTTGTATTGGAAAGAAAAAGAAAGGCCAAACCACTTACTCCAAGTTTTAAGTAGTCTGAAGCCTGCTTCAAATTCCCATGACATCCATTGCCTGCTAAAGGCTGGTTTTTACTGCCACAAGCAGACCATCTCCTTCACGTTGATTTTGGGAGGAAGAGGCAGTGTTGGAGATAATATACAACATCCCTAGATGCTGAGTATTGAGGAAATATTCAGACTTCCTGAAGGGCAGGGGAAACTGTGCCAAAGTGTTTTAACTTGATGTTGCATGGCCTGTGACATGCTGTGCTTCCTCTGAACTTCCTGCCAAAAATGCAGCCATTTTAGCCCTGTTGCCCAGTGCATATTTTATGATTGGAACATGATGAACTGTGTTTCTTCTCTTCACGTAGAGTGAAGCTCTCACAATTTTGAAAGACTGTGCCTCTTGCTGTCACGTTTGTTTCAGAAATAGGTAATACTTGGTTTATGTCTACTTGATATCCTGGTGTTTAATTTTTCATCATCACAGTTGGGATGTGCTGGTGTCTCCTCTGCTACTGCTTCTGGCCATCTCTGTGAAACAAGCTGTGTTGTTCGGCTGAGGTTGTGCTGTGAGCATTTGCACACAGCAACAGTGGTTGCATAGAAATTCACGTCAGCCTACTGAAGCTGTTACGTAGTCCTGTAATAAGTCTGGTCTGCAGGTTTATTAAGGGACCAGCTAATGAAACTTCATATGGGCACCACTGTCACAGCATGATGCAGTCACTCTCTGCTGTGGAAGGAATTTCACTTCTGTGTTTACCTGAAACTTGATCAAGAGCGGTGTGTTCCTGAAACATGATTGCTGTTAATAGACTCAGAGCATATTTACATGTGCTGTGCTCCAGTCCTTAGTACATTTATTGCCGGTAGTTATGGCTTCTGGCCATTATTTTCTCTTAGCCTTTGAGGTTTTTAATTAGATGCAATTTGATTGTTTCACAGCTTCCTAACCCCTTCATCAGGAGAATAATGTTTTTTTGCCAGCCCTGCAGGTGCTTGCTGTGGTATGAAAAACTAAGGTAGTTTCTTACAGTATCATTACTCTTCCACAAATAATTTTATCCAGTGCTCTTGTGACAAACTTTTCAGGAGTCTCACTCAACAAATTATTTCTGGTTAACAAAGAAGACCTTTCCTAGGTGTGCCTATTGCATAACCTTATTTTTAAATAAGTCATTTTAAATGACTTAATCTTAGCATTTTCAAGTCTTCTGGATAGTCCCATTGAACCCTCTTGAAGCAATGTAGAGGCTTTCATTCCCTTTAGTTTCTCTGCAGGAAAAAATAAGTTGGCAACAAGGTAAAGATCTCCCCTTGTTCTCACTGAGGAGTTCGGTGACTTCCTTTGCTTCACTCAGTTTACTTTGTTCTCCTGTGCAATGGCATAGTTAAGGTGCAACATACTAGAGTGCTGGTTAGGGGCTGATCTTCACTGCCTCCTTTTCAGTGGCTTAGATGAATCAGTGCTACAGAAAAATGTTCCCCTCATCCTCAGCCCACTCAGAGTATTACAACGTCCACAGACTGACAATAGTATGGATCTTAGTCCAACTGTGTGTAGAGGAGCTGAGATCTTTCTGGGGCTTTTGTTCTTCACTTGCCCATTGTGGACTATTGCAGACAACGTTTTTGCAAGGCTGAAATTGGACACATGCATTTGTGTTGGATTTTTTAACTGTTGTTCATGGAATCCCCTCAGCAACATGGGCAGCCTCAGTGCTTTTCTCTCAAATGTTGGTAACTGGGAAAGACCAGTAATTTCTGTGAGGCTTTCAGCATAGAACTTCTGTCTCCCAAAATACAGATATACATAGCTGTCATTAGCCTGGGCTTACTGTGTCACACAGTATATTCAGTGCCATGATGTCTGTCGCACTGTGGTTACTTCACAGGCACCACAAATGGTTTGCTCAGTGCTGCTGGGAGCAGAGCTGCTGTGGTTGGTTGTTGTGCGTGCTACTACTGTTCCTAAAAGTAACCCAAGCTCTTCCTTCTTGTGGGTGTTACGTCTTGGGTACTTCCCTGGCAGTGCAAAGATGGAAATAGTAGAGGAAAGCACACTCCACTAAGCATTCTCTGATTAAAGTTCACATTGTTGTGGATCTGGGCATTATCTAACATTTCCATGTCTTGGTCCTGTTGTTTGGCAATTGAATTCATAGATGAATGTGTGGCCTGAATTTTGCGAGTGTTGTACGTGCTTACAATGCACTGTGCTAATAGCTTGGCACTGCTGCAAAACCCACCAGTTTAGTCCAGTAGCCAATGAATCCTGCAGAACAAACTGGGATCCTGAAATGCTATCAGCTGAGTAAAGTCAGAGAGTCTCATTTTATGGATCCAACTCTGAAATTGCAGTCCATCCCCTCTTCCCTACAATCCACATAATCCCATTTACAGCCATAAGGTATTTCAGTGTCCCAGATCTTCTGACAGCTTGAGCAGAGACAGGGTTTGACTTGCTTTATATCAGCATCCAAGTTTGAGCTCATGTTTGAGACTTTTGTTCCAGCTTGGCTGCAAATGCAAGACTTGATTTCCCATAAAATAGGCACATCTCCTTTCATACCTTAATTATAGAATCATAGAATTGTTTGGGTTGGAAGGGACCTTAAAGATCATCTAGTTCCAAGGCCCCTGCCATGGCTAAGGACCCCTTCTGCTAGATCAGGTTGCTTAAAGCCACATCCAGTATTTCCCTAAACTCTTAAAGGGAGAGGGTATCCACAGTGTTTCTGGGCAACCTGTTCCAAGGTCTCACCACTGTCACTGTAAGGAATTCTTCCTAATACCTAATCTAAATCTATGCTCTTTCAGTTTAAAACCACTGCCCCATGTCCTATCAGTACACTTACTGATAAGGAGTCCCTCCTCATCTTTCCTGTAGGCCTCCTTTAAGTACTGGAAAGCTATGCTCTTGTACACGTCCCTGCAGACAGAGCAGTGATTTAAATGGAAGTGCCAGTTTTACTGTGGAAGATGCATCCTTCCAAAAGGCTGAGCGAGTTCAGCTCCTGTTCAAATCAGGAAAGGGCAATGTGTAGTGTTCCACAAACTTTGTCCCATTTTCAGGGACATTTTACATTTCTGCCTGAAGGCCATCAGTGGTAACCAGCTGAAGCTAGCTTAGAAAAAGGAGGCTAGAATTGCATGCTAGAATTGCTACTCTACAGTAGCACCCTGAAAATAAATATGCAACCTCCCCCATGGCAAGGTCATAAAATAAAAATGTAAGCATGTGTGTACCTGTTCCTTCAAGCCTGGTGGCCATCCTCAGACAGCAAGCAGCCAGAGAGGACACAGGAGCAGGGCAGACTGAAGATGGTAACTCCCAAGAGTCGGTTGACTTCCAGTGGTCCCCACCCCTGGGACCTGTCCAGTCTGTGTCACCAGTTCTCAGAGCAGTGTTATGGGCTGTCTGGCTGCAAAGCTGGGATCCTTCAGAATGTCTTTAGTGACTAACCTTTTTTTGAGGAGCATCAGAAAGGGGTTTGTTGCTATTACTGTGTGGGGCAGGAGCTGGAAGTGATACTGCTGGAGCAGCACTGGCCTCTCTCCTCTCACCCCACCGTGCTTTCTGTGTAGAACGACATCTACGAGTGGAGTCGAGACCACCGTGTGCACCACAAGTACTCGGAGACGGATGCAGACCCACACAACGCCCGCCGTGGATTCTTCTTCTCCCACATCGGCTGGTTGTTTGTGCGCAAGCACCGGGACGTCATAGAGAAGGGGAGGAAACTGGATTTCACTGACTTGCTGGATGACCCCGTTGTCAGGTTCCAAAGAAAGTGAGTGGCAGTGCTGGGCCCTCATGTGAGGTGGGGTGGCGAGGTCCCTCTGCCTGGTTGTCTAGTTGTGGCTCATTCCTTATTTTTCTTCTCTCTTCCAAGACATCCCCACCACCTTGATTGCAGGCGGGACTGCTGTCCCTCAGATTTCCTCTGTTGACATATGGCTGACACTTGCTGACTGTCCTTGCAGGCTCTGCTGCACACGCACTGAGCCCTGTCCTTGTCTCTCTGCTTTTCCCAAAAGCCAGGCTAGTTGTGAAAACAGGCACAGCAGACATTGCTGAAACCTTGGCCTTCTGCTTTGATCATCAGAGCAAATGTTGTAATGACTTAATGCAGAAGTGCCCATTTTACTCTGCAAACTCATCTTTGGCACTGTGGGCCAGTGCAGACCAAGTGCTTCCTCACCTGAGGCTGTCATTCCTCACACGATTAATTGTCTCTCTTGAGAATTAGCATAGACCTAGTTCAGTTTGCTACATGCTCTGTGAGAGGTGAGAATTCAGCAACATGCTTTGTCCTCTATGTGAGCACCTGTATTTTAGGGACTGTCTCTGTCTGCAAATGTTTGGCCCAGGTACTTCGACAAACCACATAAACTTATTTCTGAGTATTTTATGGGTAATGGGAGCAGTCAGTTGAGTTCAGAAATCAGTTTATTTTTTGCATTAGTTTATTTTTTTGCATTATTTTTTGCATTGTACACTAGCAGAATTACTTCCACATTGGAAGAACTCCAGGAGTGAGGAATTCACTGCCCTCCACATATTGTTGCTTTTACTAGTTCCTCAGTCAGCAGTGCCTGTTTGCAAAAGCTTGCAGTTTCCTGCAGCTTCTCTTAATTGTGTTACCACCTTTTCCAAGACAACAGTATCCCTCAAGAAGCAGGCACTACTGCTTTGGCTATGCTGCAAATGTTGTGTAGTGAAGAAGTATGTTTTCTGCAGGAAAGTTATGTCTTTGGAAATGCCTCTTCTCTGGATTTGAATTTAGGACTTTGGAGTTTACCTTTCCTTATCTGGGAAGAAAAATTCAGCTTTCTCCTTTCTATAAGGTTGAACTGCTGAGGTTTTTTTTGACAGTGTGGAAAGCCTGGCAAGTCAGATCAGTAAAAATCATAATAAGCCCTTTTCTGTCATGTTTTGTTTTATGGCCAGATTGTTAGCTTTGCTGAATTCAGTTGTGCTGGTGAGCTCTAGATGAGGTACCATTCAATCAGTTCAAAACCACATCACTTCAGCTGAAATCACAGTACTGCTCCAGGCATGTCTGGCAGCAAAATTCATCCTCTCTGAATAACAGACCAATAATCCTGCATGTGATGTAAAAGAGAGGCTCACAAGTGAAGTGACTTTGTGACAAATTTTTCATGAGATGAAAGCAGCCCTGTTCCCAAAGTATTTATTGAGGCATTAGTTCCCCTGAACTTCAGATAAGGAGGTTTCTCATTCCAGAATGGATGTTTCAGTCAAAGGGAGAGAGAGAAAATATAGTTGAATGTTTGTTCAGATGCAAGATCTAATGTCTTCATCAAAGACTTCAGCCTGGGCTTCTTGCAGAATGGTTTTAATTGTTGCCTAATAAGCTGGTTTCACATTTTATTTTCCTGGAGTGGCAGTGACTTTGAACTTTGAAGGAGTTTCCTGGACCGGAAGGTATTTTTCTTCTCCAGATCTACTTAAATCTGGGCCTTGAATTGATGAGGTTTGCAAACTTCATCCACAACCTGGTTCAGAAGTCAGTCAGATGAGTGGGAAATTATCTGTTATCTTTCGTATAGCCTTGGCTTAGGTAGGTGAACCTATTGTTCATGAGAAAGCTAAGGAGATACTCTCTTTTTCACCATGAGAACTGCAGATCTCCTTCTAGAGCCTAGCATGTGAGGCACAGTCTCCAAAAAAACAAATCAAAGAACTTGCAGGGCAAGAGTTTAATTTATTTCATGTATAAGATAACCAAAAGCAGCTGGTGTGTTAAAGATGAGAACTATGTTCATGGAAAATGTCTTCCTTCCAGAAATAATGCTAATACTAACATTTTTCCAGTTCTTTTGGGGTCTTAATTGAAAATTGTTTGCCTGGTTTTGTCTAATCAAATTGACAGTTCTTCTATCTGAAAAACTTTCAACAAATGGAAAGTTTTAGTAACTGTTTAATAAATCTATACTCTGTTCTTCCTCATCCCTTCTAGAAAATTCTAAGGTCTATTTTAAACCTGTCATATGGACACAAATATGGGTGTTATTTTTCATTTCTTTTCTTTCTGCACCCTTTAAAATCCTGTCGCTTCAGCGTACTGCTCCAGTTCCATGTGGCAGCTTGCTTTGATGATAACATCCCAGGATCACTGTGGGCTGTAGTAAATCTGGGCTCCAGGGAGGTGGAAGGGCTCAATGTGAAAGACAGGACCTTGCTTCCTCTTCAGCTGGGTTCGCAATGCAGGTGGCTCCCAAGCTGTACTCTCTTGCTTCTCTCTGCTTCTGAGTGCCGTTATACTATTCTCTTTTTATAGTCATTTATTTCTTATCTCGCTTTTGGCTTTACCTCCTCACTTCTTGCCAGGCTGCTCCCTTTCTTCACTTGCCTTGGATTAATTCCCCCATCATGATTTTTCTTTTTGTTCCTCCTGCTGTGAACTTGGCTCTTCACATCTGTGCTCCCTGCACCTTGTGCTCTCTCTTCCTTGCCTTGTCTGGGCATGTGGCTTTAGCTGTACTGTAAAGATTTCCTGTTTGTTCTCAGAGTGTTCAACTTCCCCCCTCCCCATTTTGTACTGCACACTGAATTTGTCCAATATATGGAAAAGTGCCAGGCCTTGTGCCAGGCAGTGGACTGGGAGAGCAGCAGTAATCCTGGCCCTCAGGCCAAGGTGCATCTTTCTCCTCACCTGTGGTGAGATGCTTGTGGTGTCTTAGCAGCTGCTTTGGGTCTTCTGCCACTGTTGGAGCTCACGCAGCAGTAGTGGCATAGAAAGTTACACCTACCCTGTGCTGTGCTGCAAGTCTCTTCTGATCTGAGCACAGGGGATGTTTTTGCCAGCTTTTAGCAGTGAATGTGTTTCCAACACAGTTCCACTGATGCCATGCCAAGCCTTAGGCTTTTCCAGTCCCAGAGCTGGACCCTTAGTTCAGGATGTACAGCTAACTCTGCACTTGCCAAAGTTTAAGGGTGCTCAACTTGGGAAGTTTGCTTTGGGACTGGGTCTCAGCTGTTCAGCTCCACTGTTATCAGCTGCTTCAGGGTTTTGGGTTGTCTTGGCATTTTGAATTGCACTTAGAAAACTTGTCATGATTATGGATGTCTGAAATGTTTCCTCCTGCCGGAGTTATAGGGCCAGCCCAGGTTATGCCAGAGAGTTCTGGCAGAACCATGTCTCCAGAGATTCAACCCTACTTTTACTGTGGTGGGAATGACAGCTGGGGTGATGATATTCTTTTATTGCCCTGCAGGTATTACAAGAGTTCAGTTGTGCTGATGTGCTTTGTGATCCCTACCTTTGTGCCGTGGTATCTCTGGGGGGAAAGTCTCTGGAACGCCTACTTCCTTGCCTCCATCCTCCGATACACCATCTCCCTCAATGTTACCTGGCTGGTCAACAGCGCTGCTCACATGTATGGCAACCGCCCTTACGACAAGAACATCAACCCCAGGCAGAACACCTTTGTCACTCTGGGAGCCATTGGTAATTGCTTTAGCCCTGGGTAGAGTTTTGTGAACCCAGAGTAACATCACATCGTATTTCACCCTCATCTGGATTTCGGGCACCAGTAACTGGGTATCACTTGGAGCCAGGGCTTGGAGTAGGCTGGAGCTTGTGCATCCTAGAAGAAGACTCCCTTGTTTTACTTGTGGTGCCCACACTGAAATAATGCCATCTAGTCTCTGGGCGAAGATATGTTTACAGTAGCAATCCTGTCTTCTCATTAGTTGGCTGGGGACAGCACAGCAGAAGTGACTGTTTCTTAGTTAGTTGTGTGTCTCCCCTCCTGAAGCAGTTACAGTTTTCTTCCCTGAGTGTAAGAGGTGGGACATGCCCCCTCCTACTTGGGAGGAAAGACTAAAGCACTGAAATGCGATCTGTTGTAAATCTGCCTGAGAGGGGTGTCCCTTAGCCAGGGGTGGTGCATAACCTGCACTGGATTCAGAACTTGGGAAGCGGGCGTTGGGATGTCCCACCCAAGCATGTTCCTGAGTTTGTAGATGTGCCACTCATGGTCTTTAAATTCTCTCTCTCTTTTTCAGGTGAGGGTTTCCACAACTACCACCACACCTTCCCATTCGACTACTCAGCCAGCGAGCTGGGCCTGAAGTTCAACCCCACCACCTGGTTCATTGACTTCATGTTTTGGTTGGGCTTAGTCACTGACCGCAAGCAGGCTCCAAAGGAGATGATCCAGGCTCGCAAAGAAAGGACTGGAGATGGCAGTGCTTGAAAAGTAGCACTTTGCTGTGCCAGCACTGTCATACACTTAGGTGGGTGGGTGCGTGCATCCTTGTGCCTGTGGTAGATTTATTTTCCTCTGGGTAAAATTAGTTCTTCAGCTCAGTTCGGCTGAATTAATTCCGCAGAAACAGATTTGGCCCCAGCTTTTTTTCCTTATTAGCTGTCTTATGTCCAGACTTCAGACTATTAAGTGTAAAAATGTTATATATTATTTAATGTTATAGTTAAAAAGGAGAGAGATTTGATTTCAGTCACTGTAGTTCATGTCCGAAATACACTGTAATTTGCTTGTTCATGAGGTTGGAGGAACTAACTATTGTTTCCAAGTACAGCTGGAGAGATCTTTGTTTCTACTATTAATCAAATATGGTTTTGAGATGCATCTCTTGGAGAGTATGGGGCAGGGCCTAGTGTGCTGTTTCAACTACAGACTAATGGAAAGAACAGTAACAGTATTGATGGGAACAGGATGTCCGAGGGGAAAAATTGGCCTAAATTTAGTTAGATGTTAGTTTAAAAATTTGCTTTCTTCTTTTTGTTAGCCCAGTTAGCCAGCCCAGTGCGCTGCTGTCTTTGCTAAATATGAAAACCATTTATTGCTGACTAGGCTTTTGTGTTCAAGATTTGTGTCTATACAGGCCAAAACGCCAACTGATGCTATGTTGAGATGATTCCTTTGTTGTTGCATATACATTGTGTAATTTGTAAAGGTATAGAGCTCAGCCATGTCTTAAGCCAAATAAAGTTTGGTTTCTATGTTTGGAAACCCAAGTTATATTCTCATAGGTCATGAACGTTGATGCATGCGTATTTTAGCTCCTTTTGCACAAGAGGACTCTTAATTTCTTTTTCTGCCTTTGACTAGTGGGTCGTAGAAAACTGACCTATACATAAGTCAAAGTATATACTAATATTTCAGCTGCATGCAACATCCATCAATTTCTGATCAAAATATGACAGTTATGTAGCTTCAGAATTTTAACAGCTGCCTTGTTTTGAAAAAAAAAAGAGAAAAACATCTTTAGATGTTTTAAAAAAAAAACATTAAAAAAAGGAGCATGTGGAATTTATGGGACATAATAGCCCTTTGTGTTAGATGTTAGCCAGTGCATGAGAGATGCTTTGTACTATCGGCACTGGAGCACTTTTGAAGATAGAAGGCATGATTTTAATTTATAAAAAAGGTCACTGCCTTGCTGCTTGCACGGCCCCATGCTCTGGGCAAGGTGGGATCTTGAGGTAACTGAGAGTCAGGCCCAGACATTTTCAGGAAAGATGAAAACTGGAAAAAGAATTAAATGGTTTCTCTTTTGTTGTGTTTCTTGTTTTTTAAATGATGCCATATAATATACAAGAATTGTCTTTATTCCGTATTTCATCTAGCAGGTGTTTTAACAGTGTTACTTTGCCATTAATGATGTGTAAACTCTTCAGTGATTTACAATAAACAGTTATGAGTTAGACTGGCTGCTGTATTTTGTTTTGAAATGTGAAGGGCTTTGTATATCACACATCAGAATTACAGCACTGTTTTTCTTGGTGTCTCCAGCTCTTCAGTTGGCACAGCATTTCCAAAATATCCATCCCCTCAGCATTTCTGCTTTCCTCATCAGCAGAAGAAGAGTGTTATCAAATGGAAGGGCACTAAGAAATTTGATTACTTTGGGCTTAGTGGCCAAGATGATAGAAGGGGAGGAAGAAGAAAATTCAAGGTGATATAAGCTTGAAAAGAGACTGTGGCAAGTTCTTGCATGTGGAAATCCCATTTTAATAGCAAAATATCAGCCAAGTGTGACTGCAGGACAATGCTTTGACCAAAAATACTAAGCATTTGGGTTAGATTTTGCTGTAAATTCTCCTTGTTTCTGTGGAGATATGCCTGAAGACCTGGGTGTGCCAGATGTCATGTATTGATGTGTATTCATCAGAAGTTGGAGCCGTTTGATGGACATGGATATTAGACACACACAAGTAGGAGATGTCTCCCCACCACCCTCTACAGTGCCTTCAGGACGTGGTGGAAACAGACTGCCAGAGCTGGGAGGTTTCTGACCTGCTGATTACTTCATTCTTCACACAGATGATGGCAGTTGGAAAGCAGCAAAAAAATCATTGCACACCCACCTTCAAAATGATGCGGGCGATGAGTTTGGACTTGATGTTTGAGTATAGGTGTGAAGCTGGGAAGATGCACAAGTGCCTAGTCTTACTGGTGCTCCCATCATTTCCTGGCCAGAGAACTGCAGTGAATACACTTTACAGGCACTTAGATAGACATCTTCCTGTTGACCTTTATCATACTTGAGACACCTCTTTTTTTTTTTTTCTTTTGTACTGCTATTACTTGGACTTCTTTAAGCTGATTCCTGTCAAGTACATGGTGTAAGAAGAATAACTGGCCCTACAAAGAGATATATACTGTTCTGAACCTGAAATTACAACAAGGTAGTATTTTTTTCCCCTGCAGATATTAGACTTCAGCAGTAACAGCAGTTCCAGTGGGATTCAGGGATCTGAGATTTTGAAACCATTGACAGGTTACCTATGGTTTTGAAAAACTGAAAGGAAAAGCTCCTCCATTAAATGTCTTGTCTTGGAGCTTGTACCACCTGAATTCCTGGTTCTGTAGATGAACTTCTCTGTGTGGTAGAGTTGATCAAAAAATGCCAGCCTTTGCAGGAAAACTAGATTTTTTTTTAAGAGAATGTCTTGAACTTTGGTAAAACAAGGAATAGTTCCATGGATTTCTTTTTTTTTCTTATTCTACTTTTTGCATGGTTTTTAAAATTTTTTTGCTTTTTTTTTGCTTGTTTGTTTTGATTTTGTTTTGTTCTGGAAATCATTTTGGCCATGTTCTCTAGTGTGGCCTTGCCTTCCTCAAGAAGGTGTAGGGTTTTTGGGAGGCGGGAAGGGCCCCAGCTACCTCCCAGGGTGTGTGCAGTGGTGTCTCAAGTTGTGGAACCTCTAAAGCAGGAGCTGCATTTGTTTCTGTGGACTTGCACCTCTCCTGCTGATCTGGAGGTCAAGGTCTCTGCTAGTACTTTGAGGAGTGCAGAAGCATTGAGGGACTGCTGCTTGATTGTTGGCTGGCTGTAGGCTGGGCTAAACCAGTGATACGGTGACCAACATGATGGTCTGACAGTGCCTAAACTTCTGTTGTCTCTAACTTCGTTCTCAGCATGTTGAACTATCCAAAACAACACCATGTAGCACTGAGAACAAGAGGAATTTGTACACTGTCTCATCTAGTGTTGCACTAGTTCCAGGCTCTCAGTTTTGTCACAGAGCAGGGACTGGGGTTTTTTTTACCGTTTTTCCCAAAATGGGTGGAGCCTTTAGGAAATGTAGTGTTGGATTGGGAGTTGTGTGTTCTTTCCACAGCCGAAACTCCTGAACAGGTCACCTGCTTTTCATCATGGTGTGGCTTGAGGAAATGCTACCCTTGCCCTGGAACTTCACACAATCACTAAAGGAGGATTTCGGCTGTAGCTTCCAGTGTGTAGTTGGCTACGTGTTGTCAGGGCTGTGTACAAACACAACTGACAGCATGTGGCATGAGGCCATGGTTGTGATGGGTGACTTCAGAGGCACTTCCAGGCTCCATCTAACCCCATCTCTGCTGCAGTCAGGTGCACAGAGTAAGCTGTGGTCAGGTAACCCCTTGGACTGGGAGGAAAGCATGAGCAAAACTTGCTGGCACTGGAATTACACCTAGGCAATGCAGTGAGAGGGTGAATGCTGGCACTGAAGAAGTGTGTCAGGGTTCGCAGTCCCTGAAAAGCAGCCAAAAGCAGACATTTCTTGTGCTATCCTTTGCCTAGCAGACCCACTGGCACACTCAGGAAAGCTGATGGCAGTCCTTCTCTGCACCGTTGGGCCAGGGTCTTGCATGGCAGAACCAAAACTTCACTTAGCCTTTCGGTACTTGGATGCAAAGCTTTAGCAAAGGAGGCCTGGTGTGGGAAAAGGGTGCATGACCAGCCCTGGGCTGGTCACCATATCCCTGAGCTGGTTTAGAAATAACTGGTGAAAATGGGGGATTGTTGGGGGTGGCGTAGGAATACAGAAGATGCTGCTTGGGGTGGCAGGGGCGGATTTCTGCCCACTCCCTCCAGTGGCTCTGCTGTTTCCTTATAATCATGGGTGATGTCTGTATCCGTATCTCCCTCCCCAGCTTCTAAGTGCAAGGTGACTGCTGTGCTGACTGGTGTTGATAATTTTTCAGGCCCAGAAATTGGCAGCCAGAACACAGCTTTCTGGAAAAAAGCCCTGCAGATGGGAAATAGGGCCTGTCTAACTTCAGATATCACATTAAGCTGTTGGGGTGGGATGGTCCCAGGAAAAACAAGGTCCTCTGAAAGGTGTCTTGTGTCCATGTGATTCTGGGAGTCCACGCCAGATGTAATGTGATAGAGAGCAACCCTGGACATGAGCCAACAGTGCACACTTGCAGCCCAGAAAGCCAGCTGCATCCTGGGCTGCATCAAAAGAGGTGTAGCCAGCAGGTTGACAGAAATGATTCTGCCTCTCTACTCTGCTCTGGTGAGACCTCACCTAGAGTACTGTGTCTAGCTGTGGAGCCCTCAACACAAGGACATAGACCTATTGGAGCCAGTCCAGAGGAGGACCACGAAGATGATCAGAGGGCTGGAGCACCTCTACTACAAGGATAGGCTGAGAGAGTTGGGGTTGTCCAGTCTGGAGAAAAGAAGGCTCCAGGGAGACCTTAGAGCAGCCTTCCAGTACCTACAAGAAAGCTGGGGAGAGACTGTTTACAAGGGCATGTAGCATAGGATGAGGGGCAATGGTTTTAAACTAGGGCAGGATAGATTTAGACTAGACATTAGGAAGAAGTTCTTTACTGTCAGGGTTCTGAGACACTGGAACAGGTTGCCCGGAGAGGTGGTGGAGGCCCCACCCCTGCGGAGATTCAAGGTCAGGCTTGATGGGGCTCT